ACACACACACACAGCTGGACAACACACCACACAGCTGGAGAAACTAGAGGTACACACACACACACACACACACACACACACACACACACACACACACACACACACACACACACACCACACACACACACATGGAGAAACTCAGAGGTACACACACACACACACACACACAGCTGGAGAAACTCAGAGGTACACACACACACACACACACACACACACACAGCTGGAGAAACTCAGAGGTACACACACACACACACACACACACACACCTGGAGAAACTTAGAGGTACACACGCACACACATACATGCGCACACACAGCTGGAGAAACTCAGAGGTACACGTACACACACACCCCTCAAAACTCAGTGTTAAATGTCTCTCCGTCTCCACCACAGAAGCCCCGCCCCTCTCCGTCGTCACGGCAACAGAGGCAGATTCCTTCCTGAGTCCGTCTGGTCCAATCGCTGCCCGCGCCCGAGACTCCCACAATGCACTGCTACAGGCGGGCCGGCTGCCCTGGTGGAGGACGGGGGGCGATGATGACACATTTAGCCCCGCCCCCCTGCAGGAGCTGGAGGCGGAGCTGGGGGGACTCTTTGTGGGGGGGCAAATAAAAATTTGATGTGATATATTTATTTTATTTTCCTGAGTAACTCACATTCAAAGTCGTTTTGTTTTTGCAATAATTTCTGTTTGTGGGGGGGGCAGTCGGGGTCAACATTTAAACTGTTGTTTTTATTAATTTTAGGGAAAAACTCAGCTAAAACATGTTTTTGTAGGTCTTATAATTGTCTATTTTGTCGTGTTTTTTCAATCGTATAAATCCAAAGTATAGTGTTGTGTAAAATATATCTAAAAAATGCAATACACCGGAAAATGTGTGGCTTTCTGCTGCCCTGATCAACGGGGAGCTCATTCCACCATTTTGGAGCCAGAACAGCAAGCCCACGTGTTTTACACCTCTTATTAATGATCATTAAAACATCAAGGAAACAAATGCATTTCTGTTTCCCTTCTCACACGTTTATTCTTCTAAGCTGATAGATATATTTGTTTTATTGCAATAACCACTGTCCAGCAGCAGGGGGTGCTCCACGTCCTCTGAGCAGCTTAAACTAATATTCTTGTTGTAGATATATTAGAAAATGTTTTTTTTGTTTTTACTCATTTTCCCCTCTGTGTTTAAGAGGTGCCTCTTTAAATGTCGTGTGTGTGTGTGTGTGTGTGTGTGTGTGTGTGTGTGTGTGTGTGTGTGTGTGTGTGTGTGTGTGTGTGTGTGTGTGTGTGTGTGTGTGTGTGTGTGTGTGGTATGGATGGATGTAGTATTGATTATAGCTGCAGCAGAGATCAGCTGTTGTTACATAACATCATCATCAGAGAGCAGCGCTGCAGACAGCAGGTAGGAAACATCATCTCATATTCTGTATCTAACAGAGCTATATCACTAAAGCTAAACATCATATTGTCCAATGTTTACTTTAGAAAGTTCATGAGTTCCCTTTGGGGGATTACACTGTGAATGTTCTGATCACATGACCCCCGGATGTTCTCATTTGGATTAAAAGTCCAGCTTCATTCTTGATTTTCTGTAATTCAGTAGAAATAAATATACGCAGTAGCATTTGTAGGAAAACTACACTACCCAGCATGCATTGTTGCAAGAACAAGCCATAACTTTCTGACTTTTGTGCTTTTAAAAATGTCTCTGTTTTAATTCATGTCCTTTTTTAACAATATTCTGTTATTTTCTTCAAGTTAGTTTTTACAAAGAATTCATATCATATGTTCATAAAAGTAAATCAGCAGGAGAGGACTCTTTAAAGTAGAGACACTACATACTGATATACACCTGAACATCAGCAGGAGAGGACTCTTT